GGGCCAATTAGCACTGTCCAGACAGATGTCAGGGGATTTCCATCCTCCTAGAGCAGAATACAAACTCCTCCTACAAGTTTTAACCACTGCTCTGCTGGACACCGATAGAAGTCACAAGACTGCTCTAACTGTTGATGAGAAAAGGTATTTAGCAGTTTATATTTACTAAAATTGCATTTCCATGTTCTGTGTACTGAGTGAAACCAGATATAGTGAATGCAGGGTCCTGGGTTTAGTAACACTTTAAAATTGAAGTGCTAAACATTTAGCAACTGTGCTGCCATTTTAGCCACTTTGCTGCCATTTTAGCCACTGTGCTGCCATTTTAGCCACTGTGCTGCCATTTTAGCCACTGTGTGGCTTCTTGTTTTCCCTAGGAGATGCTAGAATTGAACAGGAATTTTAGCAATTGCAGGACACCCCTTTTAATTTCCACTTCACGCATGTTGCATAGACTGTACCTAATAAAAGCAGTGTTTATATTATGACACAGAGCGGGCACAGTTGTGAATTGGTTATGGCCGCCCAGCACTATTCGTACCAGATGCGTTGAGTTAAGCTGGGTAGTAAGTAGTGTTGGTTCTGAAAGGGACCTGACATGGACACTTGATGGAGGAGCGATAAAGTTAGTTCTGTATCCTTCACGTGTCACGGGGGCCTTTGTGCTGCTTTCTCTTTCACAGGCCTCTAGCAAAGGCGTCCATTGTTTTGATGAGATGTATGTTCTCCTTTAATCCCAGGGCAAGCTCTCTCTCCCACATCCCTCATAGTGTATTCATCACCATTCTCCGTGGGCCTCCTCCTCCCGTTCCCATCTCTGACGGGCCCTGGGAAACTTGCAGCACCAATGGGCACCACAAACAAGGATGCCTCTCTTGTTGCCACAGCAACTCCAAGAGGAGTCCAGGAGATTTTGTCCCTCTGTAACTCACACACACTCTCTCAAAGAGTAAAAGGAATGACGTGAGGAATAAACAGATCTTGCAAACAAGAAAAATATCCCTCAATCCCCTTTTTCTCTCAGCCAGGCTCTTTTTTTTTTTTTTTTTCTTAAGTGAGTGTAAAATAGTCCCACTGAGCCGATAGAAAGGCATAACAAGCTCTTCTGTGGATGGCAAGGGATGCAAAAGAAAAATCCAGTTTCACTCTAAATCAGCTCGGAACAAAGAGCGAGAGCCTGAACAGAATGCTTTTCACTTAATAATTGTTGCAAAATTCCACAGTTAAGGGTTCTCATGTAATAAAGAAGAGCTTGGCAAAGCAGAGATTGCTTCCAAACTGAACACATTACTCTAATGCAATTTGCAAAAAAAAAATGGGGGGGGAGAAAATTGTTTATAGGGCCCCCTATAACACTAACAGTTATACACATGTGCAAAAATGACAAATGTCAGGATTGGCATGTGTACAGTCCTCCTCGGCACGTCACAAATTAACAGGGTTAAAGTAGTATTAAACCTTCAGTGTTTTTAAACCTAACAACTTGAACATCAAAAAATAAACATTCCCCAGTCAACTACTTAGTAACATTCTTACTTCAGCTCTTGCAGTTTACAACTTTCAATGCTGATGGCTCTTTTTATGTCAGTGCTGCTTCCCTGAACTTCCGGTCTTCACAGGAAAGAGTTTACAGTGGGCAGTGCAGTCTCCAGCCAGGAGGAGGAGCAAGGGAATGTCCTGCCATCATAGGCTATGGGTGTGTGTGTGTGTTTTTTTTTTAATTCTTTATTTAGGGAAAGACAAAAGTATACAATCATGATCGTATGAAAGAAAATCTCAGGCAGAACTGAAAGTTCAGACCAAATTGTGTAAACAGCCAAAACGCACATTATATCGACCAATAATCAAACAAGATCAGTATTGCACTCGTAAAGATGCAGTCAGCAATAGTCAATGGTGGTGAACAGGGCTGCTGTTAGAAACCATGGGGCCCCATACAGCCAACCTGACAGGGCCCTCCTCCCCTCAAAAAACAAAACCGTTTACCATGCTTCAGTTATGAATGAACACAATGGGTGATCTGTACCAATCACTCACTGTGTTTATTCATGAAAAGAAAGGTTGGGTAAATGTGACCTACTTACCAGACCTTTCCCCCCACTCTATTTTGAAGGATCCTACTGTGTGCTTGCAGCTGCTGGTGGGAAGGAAACGAGGGAAGCTGGCAGTACTGTGGAGGTGGGGGCACACAGGGGGGCCTGGACAGCAGGGGTAATAGGTAATGATAATTTACTGGAACTGACTCTTGTACGACTCTTTCTGCAGCAGCTGAAAGCCAGCAGAAGAGAGTGGAAGCCAACTTTCAGCTGCTGCAGAGAGAGCCATACAGGGGATTGGTTCCAGTAATTTTCCCCCCCACCTTCACTGTGCCGATCACCCTCCCTGCCCCTATTCAATTCACCCAGCTGCCTGGGCCCCCCCCTGCTGGCCTGGGCCCCGTACAGGAGGACTGGTGGTACCTCCTTATCCACAGACCTGGTGGTGAAAAAATCTTGCAAGACTATAGCAGAGACCTCATGAGCCTACCAAATTCCTAAATTCATCTTTTACTTTTTTCCAAAATGTTTCATTTTTTAACAAAGCTAAAAGAAAGGGGGAAAAAAAGAGAGAGCGGTAAGAAGGAAAAAATGGGGGAGGGGGGCTGTGTGTGTGGGGGTGGGGGGGGGAGGCGCACCATACTTTAATGCATCAGTTATACATACATTCTGGGGCTGTGTGTTTCTATCCATTCACACACGCTATAGGTAGACACAAGTCTAGTCCCTGCATGCAAGGGTGGAAGAGGAGTGCATGTTGCAAGAGGAGCCACACTGCAAGAGGAACCCCAGGACAACGTCATGACACCAGCATAAACTGGAACATATGCAAGGATTAAAAGATAAAGAAGCTGAATACTCAGTAAAGCTGGCCATATATGAATTGAAATTTGGCCAGCTCTCAAATTTCATCAGCAGAGACCAGATGAATTTTGAATTGTGGCCAACCCACCGGTTGAGCAAAAAAAACTGACCCATGTATCACCAGCTTAAGTAATTAAATCGCCAGTTGAAAGTGCTTAAGAACTGAGAGTTTAATATCACTTTTTAAATCGGGAACACAAATGTTCAGCTACTATGAATCAATAGGTGGTCTCCTTCATATGCTTTGCGTGTGGTGGGGGTGGGCACAGACAACACACCTCCCATTGACTCCCAGTGATTTTAAAGCAGGGCGGGCACAAACAACAAATTATACCAGATGCCTCCTTAAGTACTGAGATCTAAGCCACTCTATTGCTTTTAGTAACTACCACAATGTTTTTTTAGACCACAGATTAGAGCTAGAGGTCTCCAAACAGTGGGGAGCATGAGCTTTAGTGATTTCAGAGCTATAGGTCTGACTCTGCATTGGGCATGTTGGACCTTTGCAGAGAGACCACTGCTTCCACACAGACAGCAAAGGTCCTTTCTGCAACATGCTGGCAAGGGACAGGCTTTTCCACTCCTGCTGTGGCTGCTCTCTAAAGAAAATAAAACTGCAGGACTGTGCTCCATTTTGTTGTCATGCACTTGGAATGTTTTTAGTGGTTTTAAATAAAAAAATTCAGCTGAACCTTGAAGTGTATTTGAAACTAAAAACATTTTTCAAGTTTTGGATTAGGGAAGGATTAGAGCTGCTATGTAGTTTTTACTTCTATCTGGTATTCTGATTTACCCTCACTGCCTGTGCTAATAACAATGGTTTCACCAGACAGAAAGTGAGGACATTTTCAACAGGGTCACAGAAGTAAAAATCTTTCAGAAACCTTCCTACATTACTAAAAAAAACAAAACAGTTTAAAGCTGAATTTCAGGAATTCAGCCACTTTATAAAAAGTGAAGGAATGCTACGCGTGCATGACATCACATTATTCATATCTGACAGGTTCATGGCTCTGGAGCTGTGAGAGAGAGGAGAGACACACACAGAGCAGTTATGCCCACCCCTCCCCTCTGCTGCCCATTCAGAGAAGCCTTTGCATTTTGTTAATGAGTTCACATAACACAAAGACTTCTGTGATTGGGCAGGAGAAAGAGAGGGGTAGGCATACTAGCTGCAGCGACTCTACTTTTGAAGATGATGAGACCTTTATTTGCCTTCCTCTGGATCAACTGTGGGTATAGGATTATAACTTTTTTTTTTTTAATGGTTGAACTGGATGGACTTTTGTCTTTTTTCAGCCAGACTAACTATGTAAAGGATCAGTGTCTTGATCCCAGAAATACAGCAATAGCTTTCTTCCGGGAGTGCTGTAAACCTGTCAGATAGAAATAATAGGGATAAGTATAGGAGATGCCTTGCACCTCCTTGGACTTAAATTCATAGTGTGCCTTCGCTTTTTACAGAGGAGCTGAACTCCTGGAATTCAGCTTTAATGTCTGGGATGATAGTGGGGAGTCCCCTCGGTTCCTATGGTTTCAACAGACAGAAAGTGGGAAAATCCACAGCTTCCCCCACTTTACTACAGAAAATCAGGGCAGGAAATGAGGGGACATATTCTACAGTCCCCCAGATACCAGTGAAAAGCTGATGAATTCTAACCCTTTCTCACACTGCCCACAACTGAGAAAAAAAAAAAAAAAGGTTTTGGTGGCAAATAATTGTTCCTGGCACCAACATGGCAGCATACATGTGGTAGATTGCTGCCATGGATTGGCACTAGCAAAGGAAAATTAGGGCATTGGATACAATTTTCCACTTTAAATTTCACCAGTCAAGAGAAACGTGTGTGTGTGCGCACGCAGTGCTGACCTCCTTTTGAAGCAGCTAGTTTCCTTTCTATGTCTGGCTTCCATGCTTTTGAGTAACAGAGAGGATTTCTTTATGTTTATTCTTGATCCAGGTCTGTAGCTCAAGAAAACTTTGAAATGTTAGCAGTAGTGTGACAGCCAGGGAACTAGCATACTACCAGCTGCACTAATCTTTCTGCCACATTCAGCTTACAATTCCAAAAATGACAGCTGGAATTTTTTTTCTTTTTCTTTTAGGTATGGCGGCGCTGGACAGTAAAGCTTCAGGGAAGATGGGTATAAGAGCCGTAGTCTATTATATGACAACCACAGTGATTGCTGTGTTCATTGGAATCATCATTGTTATCATTATCCACCCTGGTAAGGGCAGCAAGGATAAGATGCATCGGGAGGGGAAGATTGAGCAGGTGACAGCCGCTGATGCCTTTATGGATTTAATCAGGTATGCTGGCAATGGAAGTGAAAATAAATTTTTTAAGTATTGCATAGATTTTAGTAAACTTTAAAACCGATGCTCGCCTACTCTGGACCATTCAAGTGCATTTGCTGAAATCTTTCAAATTGAGCGCTTAGTGTGAGGTTCTGCTTTTATTGTTATTGTATGATCGGTCCCAGTGTTGTGATAAAAAAACACATTCCTGGTATTCCCTTTAGACCAGTGTTTCTCAACACACCCCTTTAAAATTATGGACAATGTCAAGGCACACTTCTTAAATTATGGACAGTCCCAAGGCACTGTATAAAATTATGGACAGTCCCAAGGCACCCTATAAAATTATGGACAGTCCCAAGGCACTGTATAAAATTATGGACAGTCCCAAGGCACCCTAAAAATTATGGACAGTCCCTACCCTATAAATTATGGACAGTCCCAAGGCACCCTATAAAATTATGGCCCAAGGCACCCTATAAAATTAAAATCCCAAGGCACCCTATAAAATTATGGACAGTCCCAAGGCACCGTATAAAATTATGGACAGTCCCAAGGCACCCTATAAAATTATGGACAGTCCCAAGGCACCCTATAAAATTATGGACAGTCCCAAGGCACCGTATAAAATTATGGACAGTCCCAAGGCACTGTATAAAATTATGGACAGTCCCAAGGCACCCTATAAAATTATGGACAGTCCCAAGGCACCCCATTCTAAAATGTAAAAACATTCTAATGGTTTTATATAATGCAGCAACATCCATACATGTAGGACACCCAACATTAGAGATGATTTATTCTTCCTAAACAAATACACTTTTGCACAATAGTACTGACTAGTATTCCATTGTTTCTCATCTTCCTCCATTTTCTCCATCACTGAGCTAATGTGACCCCAGTACTGATGGAGAGGGGCAGGGGAGAGTCAAACAAGGATGCTGTGCAGGCAGCTGACATCCTCCTGATGTTATTGATTGTAAGGATGCCAGCAGCTAGAAGGTTGTAATGGTGCACAATGAAAACCTGTGGCTCTATGCAACTAAAAGGCAGGCTTGTTTCACGCGCTGGCTTGTAAACATTTGGCCAATTTTTACACATTTTCCAAGGCACCCCTGAAATAACCTCAAGGCAAAAGGCTGCTTTAGACAAGTAACTCACCACATATTGAATGCCCAGGTGTGGAAACTCAAGGATATTGCAAGGAATGCCAAACTCTATGCAAGATGTATAGAGATCTAATAGGGTTGTTAAGAGAATTGACACTACTTTCTCACTGAAGTACATTAACAGAGGTTCTGTTTTGCACATTACAAAAGAGGGCCTTCTTATGCTGAGGTGCAAACACATTTTGGTGGTGGGGGCTGAGGCAGAAAGATCCCCTTTGCAACAGAGAGTAAAGAAGGCCAGCCATGTGAATTGTTGTCACATGTAATATGTTGTTAGATTCTGCACATGAGAAGGCTTCATTAAAGTTTCAAATGACTGGAACACCATCAAGCTAATCCCATAGTCAGAAGATAAAGATAAATCCCGTAGCTCCAAAGGCTTCAATCAGTTCCTCTATTGAAGAGCATGCCTAAGCCGGTTGGGGTGAATGTGTCTCCAGGTGGGGTTCTCTGGCATGTACTGTTCAGCTGTTTGCCTCAAAAAATAATTTTTAAGAGTGGAGACATCAGTGTGGGATTTATTTTATGCACAGTTGATCCAATAATCTGAGATCAAAGGCTGGAGCAGGTGGGCCATGCTTTTCATGATGAAAAACTCCTGATCGGCTCCTGTGAAGCTGGATAAACAAAAGACAGAAGTGCCTAGACCCTGTCATGTTTGAGTCAGTGGTCTGCTGCTTCTAATCCAAAGAATGATATATGCTAAGAACCTAGTGCCCAACCTACAGCCCTTCGGAAATTAATGTGTGGCCCTTGGGATCATTGTAGGTGCTATACTATGCTTTGGTGCTTACTCAAGCCAGGAAACATGTTCTTTAGACTAGCTTCTAAGAGTTAAATGGTTTAGTTTCCTTCTTTCACAATATTTTACCTTTTTCTGTGCTGTCCATCTCTTTTCCCTTTTTTATGTTTTTTTTTATTTTATGATCCTTTATATTGAACCTTACTAAGCAAAATATCAAATCTTGTTTTAAGGGGACTGTAGGGAGGACAAACTTGGAAGCACTGATTTGCAAAATGGCTCTTTTAGCAGTGATCTTTAGCAGTCTCATGTGTCTCCAGTCCATGACCATCTTCTGAAACAACATGCCCCCAGTCTCCTACATCTCCTTTAGCATGTTTGCAGTCTCTGACCATCTACTGTAGCATTACATTTCCTGAATATTATATGTAGCCCTTTGGTGATAAAAGGGGCCACATTTAAAGTGTTACTAAACCCACAAAAGAAGTCACAAGACTGCTCTAACTGCTGATGAGAAAAGGTATTTAGCAGTTTATGATTACTAAAATAATTGCATCTCCATGTTGTGTGTACTGTGGGAGACCAGATATAGTGGATGCAGGGTCCGGGGTTTAGTAACACTTTTAAGTCTCATATATCAAGCAAATTGGCCACCAGTGTGCTAAAGGTAGAATTTTTTTTCCATTTGGTTTACCATATTAGGTTTTTACTCTATTGGCTTTAAGCTGAAGGGATAATTGGGGCATTTGATGTATGCTCCAAAACCCACTATGAATACCTACTGAGTTTTACCTATAGCTAGTAGACTGCCTATTTTTACTGACCTTCTGGCTTCAATGCTTCTTGAGTTACTGTCCAGTCAGAAAAAAGTCAGATATCCTGCTAGATACTCAGGGTATTGAAGCAAAAGGGTCAGTGAGACAGACTGAGAAGTCGGCAATGCAAGCCCCCTTTTAAATCCTCAGTCTCCTTTCTGTCTTTGCTGCTATGATTGTCAGAAATGGATCAGAATATGCCTCAGGGAATTTAATGGAACTGATGCATGAGCATGAGTGGGGAGGATTATTGGAAGTACTATTGTACACCATGTTGGATCTAAACAGCAGAGCTCTATAGGCAAGTCAACAACAACCTGGACAATCTTCTGTTTACTGCACACTGGGATGAACAACATATTGATTTTTTGGATCTTACATTAGAGGGTGATGTGGAAAGAGAGAATACTGTATCCAGCTTCCAAAGAAAGACAACAGCGGGAAATACCTTTTTAAAAGCTCAAAGTTGCCATCCTAGACATTCCAATAGGTATATACTCGTAGGTAAACTAGTTCTTGTGAAATAATTTTTTTTCTGAGGACTCTACGTGTCTAAATGAAAGCAGGTCTAGCATTTATTAGCTTTGCCCTATCTAAAATGGTTGCCAATAAATCTAGACTCCAATGAGAAAGCAAGCAGAAATAATAAGAGATGGAAGAGGGTACTGTACCCATTTTTCCTATAGCCTGCAGTGAGTAATATAAGGAAGTTGTCAACATATAAATACAAAAAAGAATGTTCCTATACTTTATACTCATTTTATTTAGTACAAAGTCTTATCAAAGGAATGCAGATATTTGGGTTGAAGGACTCATACACTAGGAAATATGTTGTCTCCAAGCTTTTCAGGACAATTAAATGCTAAGATATGTGAGACGCACATGGTTGGATGTGAAAGGCACTTACAGGTATAGGAGAATGAAATGTACTTGTTGTAAATATATGATTGTTGGTAAGGATATCATGTCACTGACAACTAGGAAACATTATAATACAAATGGTATATTCAAGATGTGACATTCACCATGTAGGTTCTACTACACATCCCTTGAAGGAAATAATTGGGGAACACATTTCAAGGGATACTAATCCTAAATGTATCAAACCATCCATTGTCTTCAGACATTTCCATAATAATCATCAGGAGGACACTACAGGTTTAAAGGAGAAGGGCCAAAGCTCTTTTGGCCTTACTTCACCTGGGGATCACAGGAGTGCACTTCGTTCTGCACTCTTGTAACCTGCATTTAACCTGTCCAGGCTCTAGAGAGATCCTGACTTTAATGTCAGGATCCATACAGATGCAGAGAACCGGTGACAGACAGTGAAGACCGAGAACTGAGCTATCAGCGGTCTTTGATCACTCAGTTCTCAGTGTAGAGCCGGCAGGGAACAGGTGCAGTATCAGACCAATGCATCCACCTAGTATGAATGTTTGTTTTTTAATACCCTGTACTACTCTTCTAAGCTTCCAAGCTTCTACTCATAGATAAACATATTGGAACTGTGAGGTACAGACACACTTTCTACAAGGAATGAACAGACAATGGGATGTCAGTCTTTTTATCCAATAGTTACAAATAGGACCACCTAGTTCCATACATCTCAGTTTCCTTCTGGGAACAGATGACCATACAGATTATGTCAAAATGTGGTAATGCTGCCCACACCAATAAATAGATGATGGTATGTCACTTATTTAAAGGTTTGCTTCCAAGGTGGTGAAGTTCCACATATGCCTGTCTCTGTTCATGATTTTTATTTTGATATTGTTTGACTTTTGTTTTGGTTGTTTTTAATTTTTCCTGAGATTTTAAATTTGCTCAAGGCATCTTTGGACTGATATTTCACCTGTGCTCAAGAGTGGTGATTTCGCTTCCCATTAAGAACATTTTGATTGCTTGGTTTTGGACTTGAAAAAGTCCTGGTTTGGATAGCCATTTTCCTCTGAGGGTTTTACACTAGAAAGTTGCTGTTTAGTAAATATATGATTTCAGAGGATGTGAAATGTCAAAACTCAGTAAAGTGCATGCACTTGAGTCTGCATTTGAATTATGAATGGAATATTTTGGACTTTTAGAAGATACCAATGATCAAATGTAATATAATAAAGAATAGATCTTTTACTATTTGTGGGGTGCTGTTTACTTGTTTTGTGCTATATGAGAATGTAGTTGAAGGTGGAGCTGTGCATCTCATTGGATAGGCTTGATTGGATAAGTCTAATGATTACTATTAAAATTATACTATATTTATTATAATTTACTAAACCTATATCGCTTTTCTTACAGAAATATGTTCCCTCCGAACATGGTGGAAGCCTGCTTTAAACAGGTACTTGCTTAAAATATTTTTTTCCAGCAAGAGTTCATCTATGTGGTATTTTATTAAACTCTCCAGTATCTTCCCAACTATAGAAGTTAAACTAACAGGTCTATAATTACTTGGTAAAGATTTTGACCCCTTTTTAAATATTGGCACCACATTGGCCTTACACCAATCCAGTGCTACTACGCCAGTCATTAAAGAGTCCCTAAAAATTAGAAACAATGGCTTTGAAATGACAGAGTTCAATTCTTGACTTATGGGTGTATGCCATCCGGTCCAGGTGCTTTATTCACCTTTTATTCTGTCTAAATATTTTTGGATCATATCAATTGTGAGCCAATGTGGATAATCTAGAGCTGTGTCAATACCATGCCCATTATGGACAAGAGCTCCCCCATGCTCCTTTGTATACACAGAGCTGAAGAAGGTATTTAATAAATGTGCCTTCTCTTTGTCCCCAGTCACCCACTCTAGATTACTCTGTAAAGGGCCTACGTGCTCGGACCAGACCTTTGTACTATTAATATATTTGAAGAATTTGTGGGGGTTGGTCCTGCTATCTTTTGCAATCTGTTGTTCGTTTTCAATTTTTGCGCCTTTATTTCCTTTTTGCATATTCTGTTATATTCTTTGTAATGTTTAAACGATGATATCGTTCCTTCATTTTATATTTAATAAAATCTCTTTTCTTATTATCTATAGCTTTTTTAACTTTGGCCATAAGCCACATACAGTAGATTTGATTTTTAGCCTTTTAAACTTGTTGCCCATGGAAATATATTTTGCAGTGTGTTCACATACAGTCTTTTTGAAGAACTCCCATTTCTGTTTTGTGCTCATTGATGCCAATATTCCCTCCCAGTCTGTCTTGGAGAGCAGCTCTCAGCCTTGGAAAATTAGCTCTCTTAAAATTGAGCATTTTTATTTTTCCCGTATGTGCTCACTTATCACGTACCTGGTGATGGAGGCCAATGGAGAGAGGGCTTCCCTTGCGGCTAAGTTTCAGACTCCCCTAAGAGTGGGACAGCAGGAGTCAGGCCCAAAGTGGCACAGGTCGGCTGTAGGAGTGCTGGTTGGTGGTCCACCCAGAAGCACAGCTGTTGTACAGGGATAGGTCTGGCGCCTGTGCGTGGTATGCAAGTCCTTCCAGGATTTACAGATTTACTGGATAGCCAATTCAAGCCAAGGTCAGGTACCAGGTGGGAATCAGAGCGGATGAAGTCAGATGGGATAGCCGAGGTCATACACAGAGGAGAAAGAGAGAGAGAGTATCCGTAAGTGAAGCCTAGGTCAGATCAGGGGTTAAACAGAGTAGACAGGTCCAAGAGCAAGCCGAGTTTGTATCAGGAAGTCACAGGTCACAGGAAACAGGAACAAGGCACGGGGAGCTAGAGATCATCCAGCAACTTGAGGAAGTGATGAGCCTCCTTATAAAGGCCGTCTGGCACCAAACTGAGGCTGATATGTGCTTCTGCAGCCATGCAGGGTACTGGCAGAAATGCCAGATCTTCCAGAACTTCTGCCGTGGACAGGACTCTCTGACATCGATGTTTACAGCTAACAATAAATGAAATCATGTTATGGTCACTGCTACCCAGATGTTCTTTTATATGGACATTCGTAATAACCTCTGCATGGTTGGAGATTACTAGGTCCAGCAGAGCATCATTCCTAGTAGGGGCCTCTATGAACTATACCATAAAATTGTCCTGTAGTAAGTTTAAAAATGTTTTCCCTTTTACTGTTCCTGCAGTACCATTACTCCAGTCAATTTCTGGTTAGTTAAAATCCCCCATTGTTATCACTGTCCCAGCCCTTGCAGCCCTTTCGATCTGTGCAAGGAGCTGAGTCTCCACCTTTTGATTAACACTGGGAGGCCTATAACAATCTCCAATGATTACCTTGGTAGTATGCACCCCCATGTGCAGTTCCACCCATAATATTTCAGCCTCATCACACTCTCCATCAACTAGGTCCTCTTTCACACTCGCTCTGAGATCACTTCTCACATAGAGACAGACACCACCACCTTTCCTATTTACCCTGTTTTCTTTGAAAGAGAACCTAGCCAGGAATATTAATGGCCCAGTCATGTGAAGAATGAAGCCAAGATTCAGCAATACCAATTAAATCATAGTTCTCTTCATGCACCAAAGCTTCCAACTCACCTATTGTGCTTGGTAGACTTCTGGCATTGGTGAACAAACACTTTAATACATTGACACCTTGTTAACACGTATTTTGCATATTGTTTAATTTTCATACAAATGGTACCAATTCCACTAGTTCTAACTACTGCCACTTTAAGAACCTGTCACTATGGCAGTGACGGATTCCTAAAAAATTACCACCAGTTCTAAGATTACTGGCGGTAATTAAGACCAGTTCTAAGTTGGTGTACAGAGGTACTCTTGTACTAAGAGTGGGCCATCCCTGTGCAAAGATATGACCCTCTAAAATAAAAGTCTTATAATGCTTGAAAATATCAGACAGACTCCTACAGAATGTCAGGGGTATCGCCTATTCCATCCACACCATGTATAACATATAAATTCGGCAAATAGCACTGTATTCCAAGAGCCAAAGATATTAGGCGGACAGCTTCCTCGTTCAACTTGAGCCCTTAATGAAACCAGTTGTGACGAAACGGAGGACCCGATGATGCCAGGTGTGATGAAACGCGTAGGGTGGAGCCAACAGTTATTACATCACCACATACCAGGGAAGTGATGCTCTTAATATCCCAGGACTAAATAGCAGCACTGGTTGCTTATTTGTTATATGATTCACATTGTGGATGGAAGTAGCTATACCCCTGACATACTGCTGGTGTCTGTCTGATATTTTAAAGCATTATGTGACTTTTCTACATTAGCTTCTTTGTGTGGCATCAAGTAGAGCAGTACACACTGTATATGGTGTTTTTTAACACTTTGAAGAGTTTTCTCACCATCTTCTTTGCTCCTTTTTCAAAAGTTTGATATTCACAAGAAAGATTTGTTTTCAGCCACTAAGGACATTGATTTGTACAGGGTGGACATTAATTAATTTTCATTTTTAAATTTTGTTTTGTTTTATATGCATTCTGGATGAATTGGTTACCCTCTTGAGGTTATTCCTGGGGTTGTGATTATTTGGTGGTTCATTCGTTTGGTATCTGTCTAAATAGCACAGCACTTGTTTGATATTTGTTGACACAATAGCCATGGGTATCTAATGGTGTGCCTGCAGATTTTTATTTATTTTTTACCCATTAGCGCGGTTTCACATGTTTTAAGAAACACTGACCAATTGTCATTTTGTTGTTTTAGTTCAAGACAAACTACGAAAAGAAGGTCTTCAAGATTCCAGCTCCAGAGAATGAAACATTACTATCTGCAGTTATGAACAATGTATCAGATGCCATGGAGTCTCTAACCAGGTTTCGGGAGGAGATGATCCCTGTGCCAGGGGCAGTGAATGGAGTGAATGCACTGGGACTTGTGGTCTTTTCTATGTGTTTCGGGCTGGTAATCGGAAACATGAAAGAACAAGGAAAAGCCCTAAAAGATTTCTTTGACTGCCTCAATGAGGCTATTATGAGATTAGTGGCTGTTATAATGTGGTAAGTGGCAGTGATTGCCATACCAACATTGTTTATCCTAAATGCACCAAATAGGCTAGAACCAATCTTAAGGCCAAAACACTGCTGAAGGTTAGAGAGCAGCATCGATGTGATGATATACATTAATAGTTTTCCTTTTAAGAATGATCTTTTGTATGTTTGTTTTTTTTCTCCTACTCCTTACCCAGAATTTACTTACTCAATCAGGATTTCATATTTTTAAAGACACGATTTGATGAGTTTTAGCATGAAGGAAGTTAGAGATTTGACTTCAACTTTAATCAATAGTTTTCGGATGAGCTGGAAAACCAGATCTTCTTGCCCAACATCTGTACCTGACTAACAAGTGACTAAGTGAGCACAAATTCCCATAGACAATCCCCGAAAATCTTGTAAAAACCTTTAATTGGAAGAATGTACATCTATGTATTAAATGTATAAACATGAATCTCAGGGTGGTCTAGATGGCTGGATAGAGAGGGAAAGATAAATGCCAGCTGGTTATGGTTCATCCTGTAAAGGAAACCTGTTACTACATAGGTAAAATACAAATATAAGCTCATCCTGTTAATTACCATAAATGTCTTTACAATACTGCAGGCAAACTTTTTTTTTCTCAGCACTAATAACAGATTGTCTGATCCATAGGTATGCTCCTATTGGAATCCTTTTCCTGATTGCTGGGAAGATTGCAGAGATGGAAGATATGGGAGTGGTTGGAGGACAGCTTGGCATGTACACTATCACGGTCATCATTGGTCTGCTTATTCATGCTATCTTTGTCTTGCCCTTGCTGTACTTCTTGGTGACTCGCAAAAACCCCTGGGTGTTCATAGGAGGCCTGATACAAGCCCTAATTACAGCTCTGGGCACCTCATCGAGGTGAGGATTCTGCCATCTGTATACATTTGCTGCATAACGATTGGATGTCTTGAACATTGGATTCATAATGTATTATATTTACAGCTCTGCCACTTTACCAGTCACATTTAAATGCTTGGAGGAGAACAACAAGGTCGATAAGAGGGTGACACGCTTTGTACTGCCAGTGGGAGCGACAATCAATATGGATGGCACAGCACTCTATGAAGCCCTGGCAGCAATTTTTATTGCCCAGGTGAACAATTATGACCTTAACTTTGGACAGATTATCACAATCAGGTAATGTGAAATACAGAATTGTTTTCCTTAAAAAGAACATATTATGTATCACCACATCACTCCTTTATGCTCATCTGGCCTACTTTGCATCTAGTATCGGTGGTTTATGTCATGGATACAGGTTCATGGCTTCTAAAATGTAGGGCTTATGGAGCAGCTTCCTGCATCCTAGCTGACCCTAGTCGTATAGTAAAACTGTGCAATGTGAATGAACACACTGCAGGAAAACAAGCAAGGCTAGCAGACTATTTGCATAAAAAGAATATTTATTCAAAAGATAAAACTATCTACTTGAAGACCAAACCTTCTGGCACTTTTTGTTTACAAGTAAAAATAGTATTTTTTTGCTAGAAAATTACTTTGAACCCCCAAACATTATATATTTTTTTTAGGAGAGACCATATAGAATAAAATGGCGATTGTTTCAATTTATGGTGGGATTGATGCATTTTAATTTATTTTTTCCTATTACACTGTCCCTTTAATTTTTTTTTGATCACTTTTATTCTTATTACAAGGAATGTAAACATCCCTTGTAATAAAAATAAGGGATGACAGGTCCTCTTTATAACAGATCCCAAAAGTCTCCTCTACCTTTTTAAAAGCAAAGGATCAAAAAAAATTGATCTTATGCTTTTTAAAAAAAAAATTGTCTATATCTATCCCAGATCGGAAGTGATGTAACGACATTGCTCCGATCCTCCTAGATCATAGAGGTGAGGAAAGATGATCTGGTCCTTTCTCTGCCCAGCAGCCATAACCACCAGATCGGATTCCAGGCTCGCCAGTGAGAGCTGTAGGAAACAATGGCAGGAGTGGAGGACGTCCCCTTCTGTTGCTTCTAAAAGCTATCCAGCGGCTAATCAAACATTTGGGTTGCTTTTATGAAAAAAAGAAATGGCTGCTGAAAAAAAAATACTGGGGTTATGGCTGATCAAATACCACCAAAAGAAAGCTTTATTTGTATAACAAAATTTTAATAAATTTCATTTGGGTACAGTGTTGCATGACCAAGCAATTGCCAGTTTAAGTAACGCAGTGCTGAATAGCAAAAAAAAATGTCCTGCTCATGAAGGGAGTAAAACCTTCCAGCGGTCAATTGGTTATAAATGATATATGCTGCATACTAAACATAATTTAGTTGGTCCTTAAATACAGGTAAACATTCTTTGTTTTTCCTTCTACAATTGCAGCATCACTGCCACAGCAGCCAGTATTGGAGCTGCAGGAATCCCACAAGCCGGCCTGGTGACCATGGTCATTGTGCTGACATCAGTAGGACTGCCCACAGAGGACATCACGCTGATCATTGCTGTTGACTGGTTCTTGTAAGTTTTTGATGACAGAAATATTTAGGACATTGACAACAAAAGTATAGGCTGACATTTTATGCTCAACTGCCTACTATGCACAATTCATTTACTATTTTTATGAATACCAAAGGCTCACTATAAACTGTTACTTTTCTGAGTCACCCGACACACTTTGGAATCTGTGGTTACGGATTACCATCTCTGGTAATATCCGTATGTCCTTTGGTTGCAGAATATATTTCATAAGTTTTTTTTTTTAAATGAAAATTAACATATAACATGATTTCCTTTAAAGTGGAGCTTTAGTCAGAAAATTAAGTCCTGCTAGATCACTTCATGCTGGCCCTTTTTGCAGGTATAGCTATGTAAAACATTTAAAAAAAAAGTGCATATACTGCTTAAAATCCATTAATGCACGGTCTCTCCCTGCTCTGCACATGCTCAGTTGCTATTTTCGGCATGTAGAGGCCGATCTGCTGACAGCCTAAAGATTTTCTGCTGCTCAGGCGCTCTGGGCTTCAGCAAAATAGCAGCCTTCAGCAAGAAGGAACAGGAGCAATGCTGGAGGCAATTTACAGCACACACAAATTTTGGTAGCATCATTATTAATGTGGAATGTATGTTCCCTGCTAAAGAATATTATTTTTCATCAAGTTGTTATGGGTAAAGTTCCACTTCAAGTCACTGCCATGACTGGAAGCCTAGACCAAGAGAGAAGAAAAACAAGGAGTGGGCACCTGGAAATGGATTTGAGATTCATGAGACAATACCTGAAGACCATCCAGCGTAGCTATGATACATGATGGAGATATAACTTAATCATGAGTATAGACAACGTTGAGCAATGAAGAATCATTAGCAGTGCTTGTGATTGGAGCACTGTGCAGGGGTCATGTCGGACTGCTGGAGACCCAGACCTGTGCTTTGTCATTAGCAGTGCTTGTGATTGGAGCACTGTGCAGGGGTCATGTCGGACTGCTGGAGACCCACACCTGTGCTTTGTGTTTGAGGACTATGGTCTGGCTCTCCAGCGTGCTGTTAGTACAGGGTATCCTAACCATTGCTGCAGCACTTAGTGATTACAGTAATACATACCAAGGCTGCTGTTGGGCTTCAAGTAAGAAAAGATTTTTTTAGGGGGTGAAACTTGATGGCAGTATAGTCATAGATTCCAGAAATGTTCATAGTCCATGTTTGCCTAGGCATTTTCTGTTCCATAACATATAATGTAGTTGCATCACTGTAAACTGAAAAAAATGGAGTGTTTTGGGGCACTCCCAGATGGGTTAGAGTGGTCGCTGCAAAGTGGGGATCAATCAAATGGGGGTACCTGATGAACAGGAAAGAAAATATACTATAATACACAAAGTTGGTCCCTATGTAATTTTTAGTCCATATGATATGAGGTTATAAGTCCATATGGGAGTCCTTGGGGGTGAGCTTTAACTTAGAGACTGCCAGCTTGCATCAAGCTAGAAGGGACTCTGTAGAGAGATGAGGAAAAATAGGTGGTGCCATCTAAGTGCAGCAAGTAAGAACATTTATTTGCATTAAAATATAATAGGCAACTCACAAGATGGAAAAAAATAAAGCGCTTGTCCTTGTAATATCCAAACTGCACTCCGTACCACAACGGATGAATATTACAAGGACATGCGCTTTTATCTTTTTCCATCTTGTGAGTTGCCTATTATCTTTTAAATAAATGTTCTTACTTGCTGCAATTAGATGGTGCCGCCCCCCCTTTTTTCGCGTCACTGTAAACTATTGGACTACGGTTTTTGGATCTTTGTTTTTCGATTTCATATCAGAGTATTTTCTTTGGAGCCTTGTTATGTATTTTCTTTCACTACTTTATCAGCTATTCCAAAAATGCAAAATATGAAAATTTCATTTAATGAATATAGTCATAAAAACTAGCATTAATCTCATTCTCATAATATCTGTATTTTTTGTTCAGTAAGACAAAAGATGGTAGAAGATGTTTAATTCTCTTTAGAATGTCAGGATGAACTTTAGAGTGAATAATACACCAAGTAGTGAAATATTCATTTGGATGGCAGTATCTTGGAATTTTCTTGAACAAGAGTTTCTATTGATCCTTTGTTGATTTTTTTTTTCAGGGATCGTCTCAGAACCACCACAAATGTGCTTGGTGACTCTCTTGGTGCCGGCATAGTGGAGCACTTGTCCAGACACGAGCTGAAGAAAAATGATGCAGAGATGGGCAACTCAGTGATTGAAGAAAATGAGATGAAGAAACCCTACCAGCTCATCTCCCAGGAGAATGAAACAGAGAAACCTATAGACAGTGAGACCAAGATGTAGGCATCACAATGTGTCCTGAATAAATGACCAGAATCACATTCCTCCTCCTTTTCTATCATCAAACTTTGGGTCTCGTGATGGTGGCAACACCAGGGAGCAATCAGAGATTCAACATCAGCAGGTGTCACAATACCTGTGTGTCTGTACAATGTGAAACATACAATGTAACATTTTGCCATTGTGGCCCTGCCATCTCTGTGCTAACCAGGAAACAAACCTTGCATTGTTTGTACATCCATTTTTTTGTTTTGTTTTTTTTTGTTTTGTTGCTTTCTTATTTTTATGAAAGGGGAACCCAAGTAGCTGAGAGTCTTTTTGAATACTGGAAATTACATTTGTCTTTCTTATTCATAAAAAGTCTCTTCACTCCACAACACAGATAATACTTCAAATATTTTTACATAGATTAATTTTTGGGGGGATGGATTTTCCTTTTTAGTTCCTTGTCAGTTGTACAGCTAAATAACCTTTTTCTATAATGCAGCACACACAGTGCCAATGCACATGTAGATGATGCATTCAAATTAATTTTATAGAAACTACTGAGTGACTGACATAGGAATGCACAGTACCATTGAATATGTGATGAAGCAACTTGTATCTACAACTGTAGAGTATAGAAAGTATTCACTTTCCCCACAATTTCCCAAAATGTGGCTCAGCTCTGGACAAACTGCTGCCCACTAGCTGGCGAGAAAGCACCTGCAAGCCATCGTGGGGGATTGGAGATTGTAGATAGGCTTTAGATTGCTTAGTCCTTTATGGATGTTTGTGTTTACGGTCACACTTAAGTAAGGTCGTTATTTTTGGCCATCTTATTTTGTTCTTAAAATTCCATATATCTTCATTCGTAATGGGGGTTAATGAATGATTTGAAACAGCACTGACAGCATTACACAGAGTACCATTTCTGACCTACTTCTAAACATTATAGTTGCCTGGATGTCTACTTTTTGAGTCATTGGCCCAGAACAAACATGCTGCTGGCAAAGTATTTAAGTTTTTATATCAACTATAAGATGCAGACAACAAGCAGTTTTATATGAGAGCTCAGTAATAGCAGCAAGTCTATTTGTAAATTAATTCATAGCAACTAATCAGAAGCCATTGGGGATCATTTAGGAAAGAAATATAGACTGTTTACTTAACAAAGGGAATGTTCATCGTTCATGTATGAGCTTAATAAATAAGCTGTGTTTTACTTTAAATGCCCAATCATTTGCTATGGTAATTAAAGAAAAAAAAGGATATTTTTTTTGCAGGTGATTGTGTAATTAACATTAACATGGCTTCACCTTACTTACTAAGCTAAAACGACACATTAATGCAGAATAGGGCCCTAGGCAGGGTAGCAAACCTGGCCCCCATTCCTTCAATTGGTATTGACTGCAGTAAGCATAGAAAAGTTACACCTTTGCATTGTCCGTACTAGCATGGACCCCTCGGGCACCAGATACTTACAAGTACATTGTCCCGTATAATGTAACAGGCAGGCACATAGCTTTGACCAATTGTGCTTTCCCCCTGGTTTACTGCAAGAGAATGAAGGTTTTAGCTGGGCCCCCTGGACGTCTATCGGACTCCTGAACAGTCTTTATTATTTGGTCAATAAACCTATTGTTCTGATGAAATCTGATCGGACATCATGGGTTTCTGGCTGACCATACTCTGCACTGCAGTACTACATTTTTCACATGCATTGCTTCTACAAGGCAAATCAGGCTATAACAGATATAAAATATAAGCATTTAGCACATAAAAATCCCTCCTGGTTCCAGATGAGTTTAGCAACCTCTAGAGTGGACATTCTCAAGTAAGGTTCTGTGGAACCCTAGGGTTCCTCCAGAGGTTGTTAGGGGTTCCTTGAGCTGTGGCTGACTGACCTCTCATTTAATGTTGCCTGTACAGGTCAAGAGTCAATGCCATTTGGCGGAGCCAGCTGTGTGACACCAATGATCTTTTTAGCTGTCTGTAAAAGTGGCATTCTGGCCACCACCATAAGAGAGACATTCTTCCCGTTAGCCACTAATGTAAGGGGCATTTTCCCACTGATCATGATGAACGACAATGAATTGGTTTTTGGAAGGGTTCACTGAGTTCTGAACATTATTTTAAGAGTTCCTCTACAGTTAAAAGTTTGAGAGAGGCTGATTGAGAGCGTTAAAATGACTTTTGTCTTTAAAAATACTTTAAAGCACAGGATTCCCTGTCTTCACAATGTAAGCACCACTATTATCACTCTTCATGTATAAAACAATTTTACTAAAAAAAAAAAAATGAAGGCAAGAGGGCCTTGTAGACAAGCGCTCTGGTCTGGAGGAGCAGGAATACTGAATTGAATGTAACAGAATGAATGTAAAGCGTGAGTTTATCTAAAGCAATAATAATGCTGGAAAAGACGTCTGATAGAATGTAAAAAAGAGCACAGATGGTTATAGAAAGACATGGAGAAAGTTAAAGTCATAAATCAAAAGAAGGTTAATGGTAATTGTACGAGTAAAGGTTTTAGTATAGAAGTTGTTTTATTTCTGGCCAGGCAAAACCGTGCTTCCTTCAGGATCCAGTCAGTTTTTAAGCTGTCCACATGGCATGAGATTTTATAATTTGTCTATAAATTCATGCAGATTTGTCAACATCTATGTAGTGCAAGGGTCTACCCAAACGATCCATTCAATCTATAAACAGGAAATTATATCCAGCAATTCAAAGGAGATTATACAATCAAGAAAAAGTCAACATTTAACTCCAAAGCCATGCCCAAACATTCCTAGATTGCCATTTGCAAGGATTCAACAAACCTTTTCAATGGTATGTATTGGGCCATTCTTCCTCTTCCTTGTTACTATATTCAAATTTGACATTAAAGAGAATCATTCATAATCGAACTGCAGGAATTTGACTATGTGGTCTTCTATCTAGACTTGCTTAGTGTGTCTGAGCTAGATTCTTGAATTTCAGAGTGATCACCTGAGGTCTGACAGTTCGATATCTGTTCTGCCAGGTTCCCTTCTGGAAGCCTGGCTCAAAAAGATCCCAGACAGTAACCACCATGTGCTTTCTTGTTGCTAGGACATGAAAACTGCTGAACACTCTGAGCTGTACATGAACAACAAGGTCGAATGTGGTAATTGCTAAATGGGAGTTTTTTCAGCTAGGTTTCCAAGGGGCCCAGGTATGACAATACAATGAAGGAACAAGCTGTTTTTTAATATCTACTGGGGCCTCTTGACTGCATGGGTTATTTTCTGGAAAAGGTGAACTTAGCCTTTAAATCCAAAACCCCAAGTCAAATCTGAATGACGTGTGGTCATCCATAGGTAGTTATTCTTTATATGAAAATTAAAAATAAAACACATTTTCCTGCACCTGAATGGATGATTGATGGGAACACTTACTGTGCAAGTGAACAATAAATGATTCCATTAGTAAATGAACCCCACAAAAAAAGAGTATGTTTTTACTTACTACACCTGTACAGTATAAATTCTATACTGGCCAAACCGACTGGAGTGTTTTAAAGTGCAGCAAAGACTACTACCCAGAGTACCAAATTTTTATGTTTTTTTTTTTGTTTTGTTTTTTTTCCTTTGTGGTTGTGATATGATGTGCATACCTAGAATCAGTAGAAGACTAGATGTCACATATCCAGTGATAGTACTGTATAATATATTCATTTAAAAGGGAATTCCACAAACATATCTTTCATACCTCTCAATGGATCACTCTAGGGTTTTCCAGCAGTGCACTGGAGGAAAATAAGGGACATGGGGGTAAAATCAGTACAATGCCTTTACCTCCCCTTGTTCCACTTGTCTCCATTAAAGGGCCTGTCCACAAAATATTTCAGACTTGGGTATGCTAGGGCTGTTATATCATCAAGGAGATTGCTCCTGGGAAGGATTACCTAGAGTCTCAATAGAATGGTTCTTCTCAGTGTTCCAGTTGGGTAGGCAAATGCAGGTTCAGTGATCTCATTGCCAGGGTTCAGATGTAAGAAACTATATGATGATTCACCTACATTTTGGGTAGAATGTCCTTTTAACTTGGAGTTGCCATTTAATCATACAATTTAGACAGACGTTTGTTGTATTGCTTTCATAACCGAAATCAGGCATCTTATGAAGGTTTACGTTAGTCACAAGGAAGCACAAGTGTCTCTTTTACTTTTTTTCTACTTTTATAGAACAGAGTATAATCACTGTTAACAATTAAAACGTTTAAAGGGGAAACTTTTCGTTTTGGAATAACTGAAGACTAGCACGGGGTTTGAACCTCTGTCGTGTTTTTATTGCTGTCTGTATTCTTGTTAAAGAGATTTGTCCTGGGTTCCTGTCCTGATAGTCACAGAACATGAAGCGACGCTAAAGCTCTCCAACAGAACAGGCAGCAATTAAACTGTCAGAAAGGTCCCAACCTAGCCTACTCCTTGGCTGAAATTCCACTTTAAACGTGATCTCGTGAACTCACCTGACTTTGAGCCCAAATGTATTTGAAAGTTATTTTTTTGCCTTTTTTTGAAGGATATGTAATACCTGTTCTGTATATATAATTTGTGAAAGAAAAGAGAGTTGTTTTCATGAATGAAGAGTTTGTACTATCTCGGAGATATCTCTGTATTTTTAGAATTGTAAACTGGGTACCTTTATAAGGAAAATACAGGCATTACATGACAAGTCAGACGTACACATATACAATATAAATGTTTTATTTTGCTAATATGAATAGAGAGAAAAACAGATCTTATGTAAATGTAAAGTAGAAATATTTTTATAATAGATAAAATGTTTACGCTTGTACAAAACTTAACTTTAGTCAGTACCTTTTTATTTGTTAATTTTCTTGATATCTGTGAAATTTTATGACAAGATTCTAATGTCAAAGTTGGTCTTTTTATTTGTTGAATGTTTATTAAAAAAAAATCATCTGTGTTGCATGTACTTGATTTTGACTAACTATTTTCATGAATATCGGGTACACTAGAAAGTCTTTTCCATGTCATT